AGCGCTCGTCCTCGTCGTGTCCTCGTCCGTCGCGGTGATTATCTCCCTCTATCTTGAAATCTTTCTTCTTCTTTCTCCTCCACCTCCTCTTCTTCCTCCGCCGCCGCAGCCGCCGCTTCTTCTCCGCTTCGTCTCGCGTTCTATCTTCTCGGTTAATCCGATCCCCGCCGTTCCCGGTTATGGCGCGACTTCGGTAGTCGCATAATAAGAGTTTTTCCAGCGCGCGAGCGCGCGCGTATCGCGACACGTATCCGATATGATGTATGCACCACTCACGAACGCGCGAGCGACAATCCCGATATCGATCGCGTTTATCGATCGCCGCCGCGCTACGCACCGACCGCCGCGATATCACCGCGTCGACGCGACGGCAGTGACGGCACGGATCAACGCGCGATCCACGAGCACGACGACGTGATGGTCGTGCCGGGAGGGGGACGGACACAGTGGAATTTATCTCGCGATCGACCGCGAAACGGCCGACGATCGGCGATATATTGACGGGAGCGAGGATACGACACGCGGCTGACGCAATTCTTTGCGCCTATATTCATACGGCGCCGTACCGTCCGCGAGAGTTACTTTTCACGAAAGAGCACCATTCCTTCGCGTATAGAAACACCATATCGCGTACCGTCTGGTCTCTCTGGACTCCTTGCTTCCCTTCCTTCTTACCGTCTGCGTCTCTCTCTCTCCCTCTCACTCACTCGGTCCTATTCGCGCGCGCGGCGAGTCCCTCCTCTCACTCTCTTTATCTCCCGCTCCGCATCTATCTCGCTCCCTCGCGCTCCTCCTCTCCTTCTTACACCAACCTCGCCCCACCTCGTCCCCTTCGCGCACTACTACTCGATGCGCTCTCGATCTCCGTCGCGTACACCGCAGTCACTTCCTCTACTCTCTCACTCTGTCCCGTAGCCACGACGACTGGCTGACTCTCTTTTTTGCACGCGAGACAACTACCACGGCGAATATGTACGAGTAAATACGGGGTCGCTTACGAGTCGCGGCCCCGCGCGCTTCTTCCGGTGGACGATAGGGCACCACACAGACGTACGTGATGCGTGCGTGATGTACGCGTGCCGAAAGGGGCGACCAACGTTGAACAGCGACAGGCCTTGTTCACGTGTCGACGTCGTGATGTCGTCGTTCTCGCTCGTCTTTCCCGTCGACGTCGTTATCTTCTTCGTTGTCGTCCTCGTCGTCTTCTCGTCGTCTCCTCGCCGTCGCCGATACTGCTGGCTGGTGCTGGTTAAACGCCCGTCGATGTATATCGTGTCGGGGTCACTTAACGTGGACCGCCCGCAGAGCGGAACATCACCTACTGTGAACCGGTGCGCTACCAGCCGCGGACTGTTGTTCCGCCTACCCGCACGCAGATGTCGTGTCGTCGTCCCGTAGAGCACAGGCGGAGCGAGATCCGCTCGCCGCGGCCGCTCATTGGCCCGCGCGGCACGAAACCGTGCCACGTGACTGCACCGGCGAATATCGATTCGGGTTGCGCTGCGGCGGCATTTTTAAGTTTTCGTTGCGTGGTGGGAGGGCAGGAGGGCCGGGGGTGAGGGTGAGACACACGGTGCGCACCCCGGACCACATCGCGCGTGATACTACCTCGCTTGCCGAAATCCCGGAATGCCGCTGCCGATTCGCGCTCGATGTACTAAAAATAATACTAAATCCTCTCTCTTTCTCTCTCTCTCTCTGTCTCTCTCGATACGGTCGCTCGTGTAATCTTTATATTCTTTCTCTCTCTTTTTCTTTTGCTCGATTTTTTGGTTATTTTTTCCGTTTCTTTCGACAGGTCTTCCAATGTCGCTACGCGCGACGGTTTTCGTCTTTGGAGACCTTTCGAAAGTTCAGGAATCAAGATGCGATAATTCTTATCCCGTCGTTTATTTTACGCTCGATGAATTTTCGGTTTAATATCGATTGGTCCTGGTTCTTTTATATGCAGTTGTGCGATTACCAATAGTTTTTTTCACACCTTACAAGAAAGCTTGGAATGTCAGAAGGCAAACAAGCGCCTCGAATCAGCTTTGAATGTCAGAAGGCAAACAAACAATTGGCTAGCTAAGACACTGGTGACGTCTTTATATTTGAAGATCTTAAATATTGTTAAGATTTGTATAATATGTATCCTGGGGAATTATTTACGACGCGGCGCACAATAAATTTTGTGATGAACGTTCATGTTACGAGATAATACATATAAATTATAATGCACAATGATTAAGATATATAAAAGTCATAATATTATTTGTTAGAATGTCTGTAAAAAATTAATGCCCGCTCATCACGTTTGGGCACAAATTTCGACAAGATATTTAAGCAGTGCTGTTTCACAACGACTTACGAGACAGTTCGTACGCTAATTAGTGGAATTGCAGGATTGTGCTGGAAATTCGGAACGTCGTAGTGCATTTGACACTTCGATCGATCCGAGACACGTAACGAGCGTGAAGAATATTATAATCACGCACCGTGCAACTTTTTCTCAATATTATACAATTTCTTGTATTATTATTGACTTAAGTAAACGAATATTACATCAGTTTTCTATCAACCAATTTTCGAATAAAATTTGTACGATATCTAAGGCCGATTATACACGTTAAAGCAAATTCATTAAATATGCTTGCGCAAGCTGCTTGTGCAAATTTATTTGAACGTATGTGTCAAAAAAGTCATTTGTGCAAGCCAAAATGACTGTAGTTTTTTGACATACATGTTCAAATAAATTTATACAGCTTGCGCAAGTATATTTGACAAATTTGCTTGAACGTGTGTGATTGGCCTAAGGCCTATATTCATTATTTATAAGCTATTTTTAAACCGTCTTAAATATACAATAATATCTTAAGATGTTAATACAAGATCTGTTCGCGTTTCTTGCACGTTTGTAAAAATTAACTATGAATATTGGCCTAAAAGACATGGTAGATACGGAATGTCTCGTGTCTTATTTTGGATACATACGACCTAAGTATCTTTAAAGCCATCACACAAACAATTTTTAGGACTATGACACACAAAAGCTTAAGTAATAAAACTAAAGCAATAAGCGAATTGCAATCACAGTAGAGATCGTAATAATGTAAGCACCGTATAAGATTCAATATTTCTAGAATATTATACGAATATTACAAAGAATAAATAATATATTCTAGAAATATTGTGTGCTTATAGGGCAGTATTAATTTCCTTATTGCTTAGTATTTTCTGTATACATTTAATCATAATCGTAAGATATCAGCCAATTATGATCGAGTATTTTAAAACGTAAGACCGTAGTTTTGACTGTAATTGGTCGATTTTTGCTTATGGCTGTACGATTACGACTAAATTTTTTTTACATGTGGTGGCCTTTCTATTGAGAGACAGAAATGGTATTAATTTTAATCGACATATTTGATCAAAACTTTCGAGAAAGCACGCGATTTGTGCGAATCAAAAAATTTTACGGGTGCGAGTGAGTGAAAGATATTTTAATTTATTCCAGATGCTCATTCGATCGATGCATCAGCAGCGGCTTGCACATATTTATTATGCAAAACAATTGCAAATACAACGGGGCCGTTTTACTTATGTTCTCGCGCGCGGATAAATCGGATAATTTCTTATTAATCTAACATAAATAATTAAAGAGGAAATTATTTGCATGTTATATCAATAATAAAGATATGCACATATTCATTTTTATTATTATTACTGTCCTAAAGGGCTAACAATTTTTCTTATGGACGTAATGTTAAAAGTGTCTAATTGCAATTAGTAAAATAATAATGACATAATGGCAATAATAATAATTCTGTGAAAACTGTAAGAAAGAATGACAGATACCAAAATTAAAAGCACATGTAAAAAACGAGGCAGCAAGAATTTCATTACGAAATCTCTTAAATAAGTAATAAAATATAAATCTTCCTATAGTTATATTTTCTACATTAACAGTAGTGAAGTAAAAAATGCGTATTCTGATATTCTACGTTCCATAAAACCATTTCTTAGGTTATTTTAATTTATTATATTCATTAAAAAAGACATATGATATAAATATACACATTTTTATAACTTAAGAAGAATTTATATAGAATATTATTTATTATTTGCATATAGCATTCTCTTGAAAATACCTGTACATTCCTAGGCATAAAAGAACATCATCGCTTATTTGGTATTTTATTGAACAATTTTATCTTCTCTTTGCACGGATATATCTGCTGCTACCTATATAGCGTCTCATCGTCGGTGAATGTCGAAATCGTTACTTTCGCAAGTAACAGCAATAATAACAGATCACAAGTGTGAATCAATATTTTTCTTCACGCATAAATAAGATAATACGTTTTAAATAATAGAATTTTCTGATAGTCGACAAATTCCATCATGAATTCTTTAGATTAATATTTTTCAAATTTGAATATGTTATATGAGTTTTATAATATGTATGTGAACATAATTTTATAAATGAATTCAGGACATAAAAATGCTACAAAAAGTTTACATAAACAATTATTCTATTTGATTTTATACCTTACAAGTTACAGACGTTTTTGTGTTTCATTATAATAATTATAATAATTTCATTATAAAAATTGTTATTATAATTATTATATTTCTCATTATAAATTAAACTTGGATAGTATCTTCATTCAAGTGAAGATCACGCGTCTTTGTGTCTTAAGCACATTCTATTATATAATTGCATAAGCCCGGATCTACAATAGGGTTTTAAGCCTTAAGCCCTAAGAAATGGGCGAATCACAGTCGCTTATTCTTCTCGGATTCGACTGCAATTGGTCAGTTTCTTATGGCATAAGGCATAAAACATCATTGTAGATCCGGACTAAACGTAGTCATAAATGGTTGTAGATGTAAGAATTGACCAATCACAGTAGAATATTCTCCTCATATTCGATGTGATTGGTTAATTCTTACAACTACAATCACAACTACGCTTACGCAACTGTAAAATTGACTTTACTGACCATTAGTAAGCACTTTTTTTAGACAGAAATATGTGAAGATTATGCTAGTTCAACTTGACCAACGAAAATTATTGAAGAAAGGCGAAAACTTCTATAACTCAAAATTAAAATTAGATGGAATAAGTATTTATAATGTTTAAATAAATTTTTTGTTATATTTTTGTATTCTGAATTTATTTCCGAAGCAATGCCCATGTGTTACAATAATATTATATGTATTCGTTCAGTTCGAATTTTTATTCAAGCAAGACAATACACTGAGGCGCGAATCTTTGAGCATTATCTGAATTGATTATATGTATACAATATAACTTGGGTTGAATTCATTTGTTTGAATTAAGTGAATTTAAAGCTTTGCTATATATTCACATATTTTAAATAATACGTAAAAATATACACACATACAAGTGGAATAGAAATCAATTCAAACAGGAGTGAAGGCAATACTTGTTTGATACATACATGTAGACTCCTATTTATTTATAATCATATGTATGTATAATAATATTACAACGTCGTAACTGTATAACAGTAAACAAGATTGAATATGCTCGATTGAAATACTTCGTGAATATGCCACTAAAACTGGCAAGTTGAGAATATGTACACAATGTAGGATGCCGCTTTATTGCTTCTAAAGGAGATACGCAATTGGTACTAAAAAAAAAAAAGAGAAATAATAGCGATATTAATTACAACACAGGGAGCAGGAAGTAGGTACACACAGCAGTATTACAGTGGCAGCTGGCGACATTATCTTAACTATTATCACAGATTAATACAGACAGCTTCTGTCATAGCTGGACATGACCGATATAGTTATATTTTATCATCTTGCTATCTACCCTTCTGCAATAAATATTTAATTGTGTGTATGCGTGTACGTGTTCGCAAATGCATGAACAATTTAAAATACTTGCGTATTTATATATTCGAGTATATAAAATTTGGACGTTTACAAGTTTTTCATCTTTCCCTCGTTACAGAACTATTGAGAGACATACACAAAATTAAAAAATGAGATAATACTGTTTAATATTTTATTAATGCATAACAATGCACGTGATATAAATACTGCATATTCCAATGTCTTGGAAACAATAACATATAATTGATGCTTTTGGCTAACAAATTTATCATTCTTAAAAAATATAAAGAGACCCGATTGTATTTAATTTTATTAGGTACTATTTAAAACTTTCTTAAAATATGCTTTTATAAATATTGTTTCATATACAAATGTAATATTCACAGATTGCACAATTTTAAAATTTTAATAAGAATTAATTATAACTAATTATAAAATTTTACGAAATACATATTGTAAATGTGACTGTTGGAAATAAACGTATTGATTAGTCTTCTGACAGTAGTATAACTTTCGAATACGACAGGAGTATATTGAATTTCACACGACAAAGCAATTTTTGCAGTTTTCATATAGCAGTCTTCTTTTTACATAATTTTTTTACATGCTGTTACACATTCCTAATACATTCCACGTATTCGATTAAATTGAATCTTTTAAAACGTATTGTGAAAGCGTCATCAAATTACAGGAACCTTAATTTTACTAAAACGTCCTAAGAATTATTTGGACCAGCTAACAATATTAGTCGCCCGTTTGTTCAAGAAACTTTAATCCTACTCGCTTTAAATACGACTTATTTAGCATATGGTAACTCATTGTTGAATGCAGCAAAATTTTACTACGACCAAAATTACATAATGACAAAAAAGTGGAAGATGCTCGTAATAATGTTCGCCACTTACGATGTTTCGTTTAATGATTACATGATGTAAAACGCGTTTGTGTATAAAACGTATGTATGAAAGGATGGTTTTTAATATACGCGTGAGTAAGAGTTACCCTTTCGTAAGTATTACAAATGAATAGGCCTTTGTTCTTCAACGCACGCGAAAGTATTTAACGTGTTAAAAAAGAATGCCGCACAGACGATCATTTTCACTAAATAAGCCCTACGCGCTCGTTCGGTATTTCGATTCTACTATGTTAAATACTAACGTCAAAAAAGTATACTTTAGTTAGGATACAATCTTAGGTATCGTAATTGGAATACAAAACTCAGTGTTAGAAAATATCAGGGTTTCCAGCGTCTCATGTCCGCTCGTAATACTAACACATGCTCTCTGTTTTATTCTGTCCTAATTATTGTATCAAAGAATATTTCGTTTATAGAGAGTAGCGTGCTTATACAACGCTCGCTAACAACATTTTTTCCTATGCTGTTTTGTGCTTTTTCTTAAGTTGACTGTCTCATTAGTCTGTATGGCTTGCCGTTCCTTGCGCTCTTTTTTGGTCCGCAACACTTGCCGCGTTATTGCCATGAACATCTGTAAGTAATTATTAAATTGCAGTAGGAAATATATATTAATTCAATTAACTAAATTTACAGTATTCTTGAAGTTGAATAAAATTCAATAAAATTAGCTTTATCAATATAATAAAGAAACAAGCTTAAAGTTTCCAGTTTTATTTTATAGCTTTATAAATTAATAAAAAAACTAATGACACGTACCTCTTCAACATTGATGTTGTCCTTAGCGGAAGTTTCAAACAACTGGATCCCCATTTGATTAGCAAATCTTTGTGCATCTTCTGTTAACACCACCTTTTGATTAGGTGCGTCATTTTTATTTCCTACCAGTACCCTGTTAACTACATCACAATTCTGTTCGATTTCATGTAACCACCGTTTAACGTTCGCGAAAGTATCACCGCTGGTCACATCATACACAACTATAACGCCGTGTGTTCCCCTATAGTAAGTTGAAGTTATTGTCCGGAAACGTTCTTGTCCAGCGGTATCCCAAATTTGCAGCTTTACTCGCTCACCGTCTACCTCCACAGTTTGTATCTTAAAGTCCACTCCTATCGTAGTTATGTAACTGCCATTGAAGGTATTGTCAGCGAATCTCAGAAGTAGCGAGCTTTTACCTACGCCTTAAAGACAAAAGAAAAAATATATTTTATACATATTAAGATGTACATAAATAAATATTTGAAAATTATAAAAAAGATACAAATATCTTCATGATAAAATTACACTTTGATAAACATATTTATACATGATTCTAATATAAGATGCTTTATATCACATAGAATTAATTACTCCTATCTATACTAAATTAATTAGAATTAAAAAAGCTTTTACCCATGCCTTAAAAACAAGGGAGAAAATATTATATATATATATATTTTTTTTTCTTTTTTAATATATATATATATATTAAAAAGTTTATAAATAAGTTATTTGAAACATATAAGAACATAAATATCTTCATGATAAAATTACACTTTATAAATAAATGTACCTATATATCATATAGATGCTTTATATCATATAGAATTAATTATTTCTATCTATACTAAATTAAATAGAATAAAAGAGCGAGTTTTTACCTATGCTTTAAAAAAAATTATACATATACATTAAAATGTTTATAAATACGTTGATTGACAAATATAAAAAAGATGTAAATATCACTATGATAAGATCACACTTTGATAAACATATGTTTTCATACGTTACTCCAATATAAGATGCTTTGTATCACATCAAGTTGATTACTTCTACCTATACTAAATTAAGTAGAAAAAAAAAAGATTTAACTTTAAATAAAACTTATAAGAGACACAATTGATAACAAAGAAAAAGAAAAATAAAAGAGAAAAAATAAAGTATAAATACATAATTTTTCACTATTAATAAGAATGAAAACTATGAGAAATAAATGCTAATAAATATCTTTGTCTTTTAATTATTTTCAGTTTCCCATTATCGTGACACAATGCATTATCTTCTACCGCTGTTCTAAATCTGTCGCGCAGGAAGAACAATTTTCGCATCATGAAATCGAACAATAAGCCACGCCGGCGGCGTAATGGATAGCCGACATGTATCCATTGTCGGGCTCATCATTTAATAAACTGCCGCTAAAACTGCGTAATGACAGGCGATCAGCTTGCACCGACGGACGACAGCAACGCTCCGCGCAACAATCCGTACTCTTTTTTTTTTTTGCGCTTTTTACATCTTCCTCATCCGGAACGAAATTTACGAAATGGAAGGGGAAAAAGAGAGAGGAAGAAAAATAGGCGAAACACAAAGGAGATTATATACAAAGCGCAGGGGAATCCGGCTAATAAAGAACAGAGAATTGTGCGTCATCGCGGGACGGTTTAGTATGGTGGTGTTGCAACCGCCGCGTATATATTTACCGCTGTCTCCTATGATGAGCAGCTTGAACAGATGATCGTATTCCCGGGCCATCTTAGCGCATACGACGCGCGTAGCTCCTTCTTCGATGCCGCGTCGTCGCAGCCTCCGGAACGTTCGCTATGCGTCACCCGACAAGTTGCTCGCGGCGCTCTCAGCGAGAGATATTCTTTATGCGATCTCGCTGTCCCCACGACGTTCGCGGGGCTTCCGTGTGTATATTATGAGTATCACGGAAATTGTTAGTTAGACCGAACTATCGCTACCCCCGCACGATCCCCAGTAGTAGCAGGAGCAGTAGCAGTAACCGCGACTCGTCTGGATCGGAGGACGACTGCAGTATCAAATGATCGCCATGTTTATACGTCGCGGTATCACCACTCATTATCATTACGGCGGGAGAAAAAAAAGCTGCGTTCCTACGTTTAGCTGCGCGACGCCCATCCCATATCAGATTGTCACCAGCTTGTTACCGCCGCCATGTTCCTTCCCGCGGACGACTCAACGGCCTAACGGTGGCGTTCTCAACGACGTTAAGCTCGATCCTCAAGAAATAATGGAGCACGAGCGTGGTGCACTATAGTATCATTCTATTCTACTTCTGTCATTCTATCTTCATTGTTTATTAAATAACATAAAACAAAGATAGAATGACATAATAGCGCTAATAGCATTTCCCCGAACGCACCTTAGGCGGCACACGAGTTTGCTATTAATTCTAGGAAATACATAAATGATTAATAAGAATATATTTGGTAATAAGAATATATTTGCTTAAAAATACAATTGATCCATTTTCTGTGCGTGTACCTTATGCGACTATAGGCCTGTTCTTTTTGGCTGAACTTTTGCACCAGTTCATCTTTCTTCCTCTTCTTTCTCTTCTTTCCTCTTGAAGAGAAAAGGAAGAAAGATGAACTGGTGCAAAAGTTCAGCCAAAAAGAACAGGCCTTATATTTTGTCTGAATAAACTGTAATTGGCTTATTTTTTATTTTAGCTAAACTTCCTGCATGGTTTCTTCATCTTTCCTCTTTTTCTTTTCACGTTGGGGAGAAAAAGAAAAAAGGTAATTATTCAAAAAATTCAAAAATTTCTAAAAAGAATGAACTGTTTGTGGATAATGTATACTGCATAATGCATAAGGTTATTTGTGAATAGACCTTTATGCCGAATGTAAAGTGCGAACGCAAATAAAATGAACAAACTTTACGAACATAACCTCACTATAATTTTAGATCTGACTCTGAACAGCTGAGTAGTTAGCAGAAATTGAAAAATCTGAAGAATGACAGAAGTTTACGTATATATCGTATTTACATTATAAGTATTAATTTTGCATTAACAATCTAATGGCAATTTTTTTTATAAAAAAGAAAGACGAGTGTTATTCTAATAAGGATTTTAATGAGGATTTCTAATTGTATACATGTTGAGATAAATATCTGTACATGACAGCTCTCTTATGTCATATGTTCTGTGCTGATGTTTGAAATTATTACATGGAAGATTTATGTACTTGAATGTATGAGATTTTTATAGAACAATATATTTTTCAATATCTTGTGGGAAGAAAGAGAAAGAAATGGTATTACCAGCACGCATATCACATAAAGCCAACAGAGTCTCATACCATTATCACAATATCTTTGTGATATGTTTATTGTCATTTACATTATTCACTGTATTAATCTCAGTGTATTATATTTTCAAATTTGGTAATACACAGAAACATTCCGAACATATTCCTATAACGCTGAATGATATAAATACATTACCCATTCAAACATTACCTGCTGACTCGAGTACTGCAGATACAACCAATTCTTCCTGTACGTATTTTACTTGTTTCAACGTTTACCGATGTGGCAGCCAGGGGAACAAACTTCTGGTATATGTCTATCCACTCAAGATATATTTAGACTCCATGGGTAGATCGATAACTGGACAGATGACGAAAGAATTCTATCAAGTTCTGAATGCTATTATCAGCAGTAAATTTTATACTCCTAATCCATATGAAGCTTGTATTTTTATTCCTTCCATCGATACTCTCAATCAGAATAGATTGAGATTGCAAGAAGTCTCTCAAGCATTAAGAACATTACCTTTCTGGAACAAAGGAGAGAATCATTTAATCTTTAACATGGTGCCTGGTACTGTACCAGATTATAATACTATCATTGATGTACCGGTAGGAAGAGCAATGATTGCAGGTGCTGGAATGTCATCATTAACATACAGACCTAGCTTTGACATTAGTTTACCAATGTACAGTCCACTTGTAAATAATCTGAAAACGAATCATAGTAATATGAGGTAATGTTTTTCATTGTTATTTTTCATAATTTTTGGAAAAATATGTATATAATTATTTTGCATTTTAGAATATGGCTAGTAATGTCTTCACAAATCAATATTAATAATGCTTTTGAGCAAGATTTAATGGAAATAAAGACGACATATCCAAAAGACATTTTGGTGCTAGGTCCATGTTTGCATTTTAATCCAATGAATAATACAATACGTTGTGTAGGAGAGGATATGTACAAGTATCCTGATAGTCTGCAAGTAATATAATCATATTCAGTATATATGCAAAATATTTTTATTAATATATATGATTAAAAATATTTTCTGTTCTTTTTTAGACATCGACGTTTTGTTTGATAATCCGTGGTGCTAGGCTTGCCCAAAGTGCGCTTTTGGATGCAATGGCTGCTGGTTGTATACCCGTGATCATAGCTGATTCTCTAATGATGCCATTTCATGATGTAATCGACTGGACCAAGTAAGATGCACTCGTAAATTAATATCTGCTACACTACTTTTCAATATATAATTTATTTCATTTATAATTTTCTCTTATTATCAGGGCTGCTGTTTTTATACGTGAAGTTGACATTTTATTAACAATACAACTGCTAAAAAAGATATCTCCTCAACGTATTATGGACATGCAAGAACAGAATGCATGGCTTTATGATCGTTATTTTAGTTCAATGGAGAAGATTACTGAAACTACATTAGAAATACTTGCAGATCGTGTATTTCCACATTTAACACGAGATTACACATATTGGAATGTACCATCCTATAAGGTGGATAATTACTAAAGCAAGAAAATCTTTCGCGAATCAAATAAATTATTTCTTTTTTAGGGAAAGTCTTCACCACTCTTTTTGCCAGTAACTGCTCCTAAAACGCGTGGCTTCACTGCCGTAATATTAACGTATGACAGATTGGAGTTATTGTTTTTATTAATTAATAAACTTGTGAAGGTACCGAGCTTATCCAAAGTTCTAGTAATTTGGAATAATCAGCATAAAGATCCACCACACTGTAAGAGCACATTTTAACACCTTGATTATTTGCTAAGCTTCAAATACATATATTATACGTTAATATTATACATTATACGTTAATTTTACTAATTTAATGTTACAGCTACTAGGTGGCCAAAAGTTAGTAAGCCATTAAAAGTAATACAAACGAAAGAAAATAAATTATCTAATCGATTTTATCCATATGATGAGATTGAAACCGAAGCAGTATTATCAATAGATGATGATATTATTATGTTGACTGCTGATGAAGTAGAATTCGCTTATGAGGTATACTTGAAAAATAATTATGTAGTCTAAAAAATACATACATATAGTATATTTATGTTATATCTTTTCTAATACTAATTGAACGAAAATATATATTAATAAAACATACATAAACTTTCAAACAGGTATGGAGAGAATTTCCAGATAGAATCGTTGGATTTCCATCTCGCTTACACATGTGGGATAATGGTACTAATTGTTGGAAGTATGAAAGCGAATGGACGAACAGTATTTCCATGGTATTAACAGGGGCAGCTTTTCATCATAAAGTAAGCGCTACGAACGCTTATGCTGTTTTTTACTCAAAAGATTAGACGCTTTGTTGTTTTACACCTAATAACATTTTTATTTAATATTTCAGACCACGCACTTTATTATAAAAATCCTTGGATTTTATTTTTTTCAAAATATTAACATCCTTTCCTGTTATCCTCACCCCAAGAATGTATAAGTTAATCCAACAAAGTAAATTACATCATTTTTTGTACGAATATTGGAATTGTACAGTTCGTATCAAACTTTAAGGGTCACTTTAATAACGTAATCGGCTGATTAGTTCATTGGAATTGACCAATCGTATTTGTCATTTCGTTTAACGGCGGATGCGATTGGCCAATTCCAATGGACTAATCGATCGATTATGTTTGTTAAAGTAACCCTAAGTTTTTCTTAATATATTTTTCAGTATTGGAATTACATGTATACTACAGCCATGCCTGGAGACATAAAAGAATGGGTCGATGAACACATGAACTGCGAGGACATCGCAATGAATTTTTTGGTAGCGAATATTACTGGAAAAGCTCCGTTAAAGGTAAGATTATTGACAAAATGTATTGGTATTATCTAAAAATTGTATAAAATCTCTCTCTCTCTCTTCTCTCTTCTCTCTTATAGGTGACACCAAAGAAAAAATTCCGATGTCCCGAGTGCACCAATACTGAAATGCTATCCGCGGATTTGACGCATATGGTGGAACGTACACAGTGTATAAACAAATTTTCTTCTATTTATGGAACTATGCCGTTGGAATCAATTGAATTTCGTGCAGATCCGGTACTCTTTAAAGATGTGTTTCCAGAGAAATTAAAACGATTTAACGATATAGGCAGTTTATAAAAAAAAACTGTGTATAATATTTCAAAGTAATCACGCGCGCGCGCGGAAGTTAATTTAATATAAATTAAAATAATACGATTTTAGAGATCGGAAATTTTCTTCTATCAAAAAGAAAGAGAAAGATTAGTTTATCAAGAATGTACATATTTATTAATTAAAATGTATCTAGGTTCATTGTTAATGGTAATCATTGTATTTATATAAGTTGACTATAAAATATACAATAAAATATATATAGTAATATAAAAGTTAGAAAAATTTGTTTACTGTACAAAGTTGTGATTATGGAAAATGATTCAATATGGCAGCATTTACATATTTTATGAAATTAATGGTTTTGTATAAAAATTTTTTGTATATAGAGTATTTTAGATCATAAATAATTTTTTATAAAAGCTTATTACATGTAAAATTACATATATATAATTGAAGGATTTTCCACAAAAAACAAATAACTTCATTTTTTTATCTCTGTGGCATCAAATCATTCTCTATTAGTCGCATTGTGAACCATTTTATTCCATTAAGTAATAAATTATCTCATCAAACAGAAACCGGGAAATATAAGAATTTAAGTTGCAAAAAATACTTTTGTTAAGAATAATTTGTAAAATTTTGTAAATAAAAGAATAAATTACTTTATACTTTAAATAATGTATTCTTCTTCACCTTTATTATCATTAATGTTATAAAAAAAGATACATGTAAAATATAGGATAAATAGATAGTAAATAAATTTTCGCAAGAATCAAACAAATTCAGAAAATTTTTATTTCTTTTAAATAAATTTTCAAAATATTACCTAAAACCTAAAAGTTTGTTTTTATACCTTAATAGTTTCAGGTTTTATTTAATATTTTATATAATCATGTTTTTGAAAAAGAATATAACATTATTAATTATTACATATTTATATAATAGTTTCAAGATAAGTTTTTTGGTTTCTAAAAATTCAACTTTTTGTTTGATTTTTGTGAAAAATCCTTTCATCGATACAATTATTCTCAGACTTCATCAAGTCCCGCTAATTTAAAGCACACTCCTTCAACAACAGCTTTCTTACCTACTTCATGTGATGGTAAGGCCGACATGTAACTCTGTAAACAAAAAATTAATTTTTTTAACAAATCAAACTTATTTCAGATTTTTAACATTAGCTTGCGAATTAAAACTTTCAGTGCCTGAACTTGTAAAGTGATTTAACACAAAGTTGATATGCTGAATCCAAAAATCCATTTGTTGCCATTATGGAATTTTACCAAAATCACAATAACCATATAATATTAACAAATATAGTTATATATATATACATGTAGAATATATAAATTTTATATTAGAAATATATTTAAATATAAAATATTTAATATTTTGTAATTATATTTTTAAATAAAAAAACATTAAAATATAACAGATTAAGTAAAACAAATACAAAATGTTGAAAGTAAGTGATACATCTTCCTCAATTATTAATTTCTAGTTTAACTTGATATGTAGGTATTCTAATAAACTATGTAGTAAATACTGTCACATATATGGAAATATTAGTATTATTCATTTCTTTTGTGATTTTATTATTCATAAAATAATATCACATAAACACATATGTTACAAGACTAAAAAATTGGTACATGTTAGGAACTTTCTAGCTTCGAGTTTGGATTTAGTACGACATCAATATTCTAAAAAAAATTTTTAATGTCCAATGCAATGAATTTATCTCAGGCTAGTATAATTATTAAAAAATTTTATAATCGATCCTTACAAATAAAGATCATACATTTGTAATATATATTTTACGATATTAAGCAAAAAAGTAATACGTACCATTGATGCACGTTCACATGTATTCATATAACCTATTATCATAGAATTTGTGGAATGGCTCCAGAGAAAATCGCCTAAACCTTCTTGTGGAGAATATCGTACCGCGATGACACCACCAAGTTTTTGTTCAAGTCCACAGAGAAATTTCGAATCTAAAAAGAAAGTATAAACAGACTGTCATTGCTTTTATTAATCACCACGCAATTATGCTAAATCTGCGGCACACCGATGAAATCTGTGCTCATCGCACGATGCAAACTTGTAGTTGGACAAGATGTATCTGAAATAGCTTCTGCGATTGTACGCGCTAACGAGGTGCGCACAAGATGCTCTCCACAACCTGAAGTACTAGTGCCTACTGAATACGAAGTATCTTTGCAAGCCCAGGTACCACAGCCCCATACTCCAGCCTAGAATTAGAATAAAAAAGTTTGGTAAACTACGATAATGTATAACAAAATTTATATTAAAAATTAATTATATAAATATTGACATAATAAAGAAATTGTACTTGTCCAACTCTTCCTGGATATTTTAAAATTATACCACCGCTTGAGCAAGCTGCAGCAATATTTCCACTGTTATCGACACATATTGCTCCTACTGTGTCCATTCTTTTCTTAGCACACTTCAGTATAATAATTAAATAATAAATTTTACTTAAAATATAATATTAAAATATAAATGAGAAATAACTTCTTCATACCTTTTGAACCTCTGCACTACAGCTTTCTAATTTTCTTTTATAATGCTTATATATCTTTTGAGCTTTCACTGAAAAATATATTAGATAAATAAATGATACACATAAAAAATAAATATTACAATTTATATAATTATAAATCAATTTCTGTGGTTTGTTAAAAACTTATGCTAATTTTATATACCTGATATTAATTGTTCTGGAGGTAAAATTTGTATGCCCATCTCGTGTGCCCAAATATGTGCACCATTTCCAACCAAAAAGCTAATAGAGAATAAAAATTAATATAACAATAATCTTAATACAATTGTAAACATATAAGACTAAAATAACACCTAGGAGGAATTCTGCCATATGCAAACTTAATGGACTGCTGCTCACACAAACGCTTTGCCAACAAAACAGGATTTTTTATTCCGCTAACTGCACCGACTGCACCATACTGCAAACTGCTACCATCCATTACACTTGCGTCGCACTCCACTGTGCCATTCAACGTAAGATTTGATCCGAATCCAGCGTTTGTCATAGGAGAATCTTCCAATATCATTACTGCTTCGACCACTGCATCTAATACATTGCCATTGGACTTCAAACTTTGAGCTCCCTGACAGAACAAACAGTCGTAAGAAAAATATAGAATTTTGAAAAAATTAAACCTGTATCACAGCTCATTAAATTGCTTGAAAATCTTACCACTTTGCATGCATCACGACATAATTTTTGATACTTTTCTTTGAGTGACGCCGAGTGCTGCCCAGCACCTATCAACAAAAAAAAAATTATGAGTTACAATAATTTATGTACAAATATCAATTATAAATTAGTCTAAATAATTACGTACCAACATGTACAGCAATAAATCCTTTCTTATTATTAGTACTCATGAGACCGAATCTTGTTTTGCTAGTGTATTTCTCTCAAAGTACAAAATTCTTTCCGCTGCAAGAATATTGAGACGAATAAAATAAAAAAATCAACCTATTGAACCACTTACCATTATAAACAACGTTTAGAAATATACTTCAAATGTAGCAAATCGTAACATGTTTTAAGTACCGCTTTATTGAAACAAAACTTATAACGGCATAAGACATCGGTACTTTAAAAAAAATCTTTTATAAGTACAATCAATTATAATTACATTATTCTTACAAAATTCTGCAATTTTACAGTTACAATATATTATCGCATCTTATTTTCAATATAAGAATTATTTATCATAAATGTACTAGTCGAAATGAAAACAACAAAGTAAAACTTTATTGTAAGACCATGTGAGATCACAGACCACGCAAGTCTGCAATACTCTCTGAGGACCTGAGGACTGAGATGGAGTTGGATCAGTTGGATGGAGTATGACCCGTATGAACTTGGAGTTTGGAGTGACTTGGACTGCGAATAACGACGAATACACAGAAGTGCGAAATCGAATCAAGTATATACTAAAAGGTTTGTTCGCGTCGCATGCTCCAACATGCTCCTATTTCCTCCAACTGTAGTTTCTACTCATTCAAATGCGCTCGTAGACGTAGAGTAGGAGCTATGGTAGGACTAGGAACATGTTAAAGCATGTGGAGATTGTGGAGTATGCCACACTAGCAAACCTTAAGGTACTTTTTCATGCTGACGCTCGATGCTCATTTTTAGCGTCAAAATAGGTCGCGTGATTAAAATCGACACTTGAGCCAGAGAGAAACCTGAGAGAGGCCATGGCGACCTTTTTCGCGTGATAGGCGAAAGCCACCATACGCTAGCGGCACCAACATCATTTTTATAAAATGATGTGAACTACGTATCGCATTATCGACACTGTCGATAAAATCGTAGTGTCGATACATGGATTTGGTGCTAAATCCACAAATATAATATTAATTTACAAAAAAATGTTTTTTTAATCGAATAAGGCGTTTTTTATAGATTTTTAGATGCTGAAAACGATGACGTGAGTTAAATTTCACTGGCACGTCAGGTTATCGAAATAATTGAGGTTTAATATGCAAAAATGACTCTTTTGTGATATTTAAAATGACTCTTTTGTGATATTTAAAACAATACATTTATGACTTTTGATTACAATTTCAAGATAAAGTTAATCTTTTTTAACAAAAACATTTTAAATATCACAAAAGAGTCATTTTTGCATATTAAACCTCAATTATTTCGATAACCTGACGTGCCAGTGAAATTTAACTCACGGCATCGTTTTCAGCATCCAAAAATCTATAAAAAAACGCCTTATTCGATTAAAAAAACATTTTTTTGTAAATTAATATTATATTTGTGGATTTAGCACCAAATCCATGTATCGACACTACGATTTTATCGACAGTGTCGATAATGCGATACGTAGTTCACATCATTTTATAAAAATGATGTTGGTGCCGCTAGCGTATGGTGGCTTTCGCCTATCACGCGAAAAAGGTCGCCATGGCCTCTCTCAGGTTTCTCTCTGCTTGAGCTATGTTCCAGAACTTCCTCTCCGAGGAAAATTTTACTGGAAATAGATAGTACACGTAACGCATACTATAGCATACAAAATAAAATCTTCCTCGAAGAGGAAGTTTTGGAACGTAGCCTTGTATTCGTAAATTTGTATCACGTGATCTGACACTGAAAACGGGCGCATTCAGCCGACTAAGGCCATGGTCCGATTCATGCTAACAACGCTCATGGGTATCTTTCGTCTTCGTTTAACATTTGACAAGCAACAAGGATGAAATGATTTTTAAGCGTTGTAAGCGTGAATCGGACCGCGGCCTAAATAGTTGAGTAAGCGCTCGCTGTCATTGGTGTATTCTTTTAGCTCATCCAATCAGAATTTTAGATTTAGAAGAATACACCAATAACAGTGAGCGCTCACTCAACTGTTGAGTCCGCTGAATGCGCCCAATGAGTGTCGGCCGGTCGAGTATCAGCATGAAAAAGCACCTTAAGGCCCGATGTCCACGATGCTAGAACTCGTTCTGAGCTCTCGGATCGAGAAATGTGTAGCCAATCAGCTTATAGTTTTTACGAAAAACCGGCAAGTTGATTGGCTACACATTTCTTGATCCGAGAACTCGAACCGAGTACTAGCATCGTGAACATTAGGCCTAAAGGTGCCTTTTCATACTGACGCTCGACGCTCACTTTCGGCGTTAAAATAAGTCACGTGATAAGGTAAATTTTCACGAGCTGCTCAAACCGGCTGTTTCAGCGACAAAAAGAATCTCGTGGTCAAAATTGACGAATATCAAGCGTCCATGTTGGTCACATGATCCTTTTTGTCGCTGAAACAGCCGGTTAGAGCAGCTCGTGAAAATTTACCTATAGAAATTGGCAAATATCAAGCGTCAATTTTGATCACGAGACCTATTTTGATGCTGAAAATAAGCGTCGAACGTCGGCATGAAAAGGCACCTTAAGGAATAATGATTTTATCCATCAGAAAATGTGTATTTCGATGTATCCGATTTCTGATAGGTTAAAGTCGTTTATTCTTTATTCTTTCTATTGTGCGCAGGGCCTTACAAAAAAATCAAGAATAATTCATTAATCATTTGCTACTTCCACAAAGTAACGGAATAATTTTTTTTATTCGAAATTTAGCTTTTCCCTCGTTTTGTTCCGAAATCAATCAAATTAGACCTGTCATGCAGCTAGAAAGGGTGAGAGGACACTCGAGTAGTCTCGGAGAAAAAAAAGAATGCGCGGGAGTGGTCAGCCTGCTCGGCAATCTCGGCATGCTCCAATCTCAGGCGTTGCAACCTTGCAAAGTATGGTCAAGTATGGTGCCGAGCGCGATATGTAGAAAATACGCCACCGCTGGGTTATGTTTGTGATATTGCTAAATTAAACGGTTCATGGATGACAAATCTTACGTTTGAGAGGCAGGATAAAAAAATTTCGTCTGGGTTTAAGGTTAAGCGCCTGCTGTGGCACATACGGCGAATTCAACGCAATTCTCGAGAGTAAGCATCAACCGGAACGGATGTCGCATGCCGTGCAGTGAGGTTAATTTTACATCACGCCGATGCGTATACGTTTGCATAATCGAAAATTTTTAATGAATTCGACTACTGCGCTATTCCGCACTGGTGCTTTCTAGATTTTTAAACATGAAGAAACACCTAAATTCAAGAGTGTAGCAAAAACCTCTTGATGAAATGTCGCAACGTATATTTCGTCAAAATGCAATGACATTCACATTGGGTGCCTTTTTCGGTCAAAATATATGTTTTCGTTATATTTTTATAATTAAGCTTATGTTTAAGGTTGTGTAGCTGAACTTTTTTCGGTAGTATATTTCTATAGTATTTTTTTCTGTAGTATTTTCTATCCTTCCTCTTTTTTTTCTTTGATGCAAAATCTTTCAGTCATATTTTATTTCAATTGTAAGTTATTTTTATTGTGCATCAGTGCAGAATAGTGCAAATAAATTATTTCAAGTGGTAATAATTTTGTATGGTACAAGTCATAATTTCATAATAACCATGGTCCTTCTCTTTTCAGATTGAATTCTTATTATCAACTCTTATAGACTCAGTGTCTTTAATAGAAATCGAACAAGATATAAATCAGCATTTGCTTATTTGTGCTTTTGTCTAATTTCTTTATGTAAGAACCCAGTGTAAGTAATCTTAATAATCTTTTGAAAATGAATAGTGTGAAATATATAGGCACATGTCGAGAAATATCCTTATATCTCATATTTATTGTCAAACAGTTTTATGATTTTTAGTTTCAAATAAATTTAAATTTGTATGTCTCAATAAATATTCAAATTTGTAAGACTTTGAAATGGATGAACAAATAGTAATAATAATAATTATTATTATTAGTATTAAATATGAGAAATATAGCTCCTACTATCTGTCATTCACATATACAATTTGAAAATCTGTGTTAATCTAACACAAGATAAATATGTTAAAAAGTAACAAAAATATCTAAGAATTAACACAAAATATGTAACATTGATATAATTTCTAAACACAAACTGTGGAACTATATTTTTTCAATAAAATTAATTTTTATATGTTAAATTAACATGTATGTTATTCATTTATCTTAGAATTAAAATTTTTTAATATATTTTAAATTACTCTTATTTGTTTGTTCATTTATAAATTATTTGAACACTGTGAAATATTGAATATTAATTAACATAAAATATTTAAAAAACATAATCACTTTACGTTTAAATTAACAATTGTATATGTTAAAAATTCAACACAAAATTTTAAGGAGAGTGTGAACCGGTTTTAACACAAGTACCAAAATTTTTTTTACTATGGCTCTATATAACCAGTATAACCAGTAGTACTTCATGTTGGCTTTGATCTCTAGAGGTCCATGTGACCATCCGCCATTTTTCATACTTTAAAGAGATAACTATTAGATGCTTGTAAAATTGTCTATGTTCTTTTTATGTTGTATCTCATTGGCTTGAATTAAAAACAAAAGCTGCGTAGCTAGATATATATGACTAAGGATTTTTCGCGGAAAATGTTCTTACTGATTATGGCTTTACTACAAAGTTTCTACTTTTGTGATATTTGCTTTATATCAATGAGTACATAATCAATGAATGCATAATAATCAATGAATGACTATATATAAGAATTTATTTTTTTATTTTTTAGATTGAGCTACATTAGTAATATATGTTGAATGGGCAATAATAAGACCAGGATATATACATGTGTTAATCATGTCTATAATATTTGATTTTCTGAAGAAGATCTTCGGATGGGTAGATGAAGGTTCTAAGAAACGGAAAGCTGAGGACTGTAACTTTGAAGAAGAATATATAACATCCAAGAAATTTAAATCCAATTGTAATATAGCTCGTACAATGGAACAGTATTTTACCATTGATGACAGTGATGACGACGATATTGTATACATGGGTGAGCAGAAATGCTCGTCGATAAAACCGTGCGCACAGATGAACGGTACTCATAAAAAGCAATCGCAATCTTTTGAATATTACAAAACTCCCACTTGTAAGTCTACTTGCTTTATGCTGCATCACAATAAACCGACCACGGAGCACTTTTTCCATCACAAACATAGGATGCCGGATATCTATCACAATTCTCCCACATTATCCAAAACTAATCAATTAAAAGAGAAATATCAATATGAAGAAATGCTTCAAAATCTGTTTCCAAGTAGGATACAGGTATTTACAGATAAACCTGCGCGCAAATCTATAGAAGTTATCGACTTAGAAAAGCAACCAGAAATCATGACATCCAGCAAGATTCAATCATCTGTCACTAACTTGTCTAAGATACCAGCGTCATACCATAATAGAGTTTGCATGTCAAACTATTCTAGGACAGATAAAGAAAAAGTTCCTACTTTAAATTACAGCAAGAAAGGTATCACGACGTATCAGCAATCCAACAAAGTAATTACAATTGATAGACCCAGTACCAGTGGATTAGTGAAAACTACGCCAAAGTTACCTGTCGAAGTTGTTGCAACTAACTCATTGCGTGACGAGCTAGCTGCAAAACCTATCATGAGACAAGACTTCATCCCGCAAGTTACTAAGAGATACAACGAACGGATTGAACAACGACACAGAGAGGCTGAAGAACTGAAGAAGATGACATGTGTCTTGTCGAAGCACAATAGATATGCTCGAGAAGCAGCTCTGGAAGAACAATTGGCACGTTCCATGAAATTATACCTGGCTGTCCTAGATGATAGAGAGGAGCAGGAAGAACCAGCGTTGCCGACGTTGACCAATGAGATGTTGAAAGAAGTGAGAAGCGCCATTATACCATGTCCTCCAGGTGAGGTTCTTGCAGAAGGTTTTGGTCTAAGGCTCACGCGAAAGGATCTTTGCACGCTAGCCGACTTAAATTGGCTAAATGATGAAGTAATAAACTTCTACATGAATCTATTAATTGCCAGAGGCACGTCTTCCGACAAGTATCCAAAGGTGCACGCAATGAATACATTTTTTTATCCAAAACTTCTATCGGGTGGTCACTCGTCTCTGAAGCGATGGACCAGAAAAGTAGACATATTTGCACAGGATCTTGTAGTTGTGCCGATACATCTGGACATTCACTGGTGTATGTCAATAATAGATTTCAGGAATAAATCGATTGTTTATTATGACAGTATGGGCGGTAGTAACCCAAAATGTTTAGCCACACTAAGACAATATTTACAGGATGAGAGTCTAGACAAAAAGAAACAATCTTATGATATGAGCGACTGGAAATTACAATCAGCCAAGAACATTCCACAACAGATGAACGGCAGCGATTGTGGCGTATTCTCTTGTATGTTTGCCGAATATGCCTGCGGAAATAAGAAGATAACGTTTACACAAGATGATATGCCGTACTTTAGAAACAAAATGGTTTATGAGATATTGAAGGGTAAACTTCTGTAAGAAGAAGCATCAATTACTGCTTCGATAAATTAAAAAATGGCCAATGTTAACGAGAAGCTTCAAACTAATGGTAAAGCTATATTGTAATATCTTTCAATTCAATTTCTTAAAAATATATTTCTGTTTTAAGACTCAATGTGAGAGAAGAAAGAGACATGCGTTTATCTTGTATAATAATTATAATTGCTTTGGATGAAGTGTAAAATTAATATAGATATACATGTGCTATATATAGATATGAAAATATTTTTCCGCTGTACAAGTAAGACGGTATATAGTTTCATCGTTTCTAACAAATTGTGGATAAAAGGATTGCAATATTTTTGTTTCTTCGACGAGTTTTAGATTGCAAAAAAGTTATAAAGATGTTCTTACAAGTTCTGTAAAAGACGAAATTTAAAAAAGAAAGCCAATTCTTTTGTCCACAACTGTACAGCCACATTATTTTCAGTTTGACTGTCTTGTATATTTTTTATTTGGAACTAATTTATGTATAAAACTAAAATTGAAGTAATTACTGCTGATATTTTGTTTATGATGCACATTAATCAACAAAAGCGTATCGATTTAATCAGCTTAAATACAACTTTCAAATAAATAACTTCAATGAATATTTGACAAAGATATTACATTATTTTTTTTCCTCAAATTATTATCCATACAGCTAATTGTTATAGTTATAGTGTCAAATATAAGATATTTATTTAATCTAATTTTTTAATCGTGAAATATTTTATAAATAAATATTTTTCTATCTTTTTTTCTGTTTTTAAGATGCAATTGCCTGTTTCTTTCATTTCAATGACATCATATACAGATACACATACATGTATACATTTTTAAAGAAAAAATGTGTACATAAAATAATTGATAATAAATATTCATTGTTTTGTTATTTGATTGAGTTCTAAAGCAAATTACAATATTGAAATATATAATTTGAAATATAACTTAATTATTTCTGCGCGCGCGCGCTGTTTTATAATTTTCTTAATTTTTTTTCTAAACTTATAAAACATACGCAACAATATAAAAGAAAAATTATGAAGTAATTCATGCATATAAGAATCAATATTATATAATATGCATTTTTAAATGTTATTTTAAAATTATTTTTTATAACGAGTGTTTTCATTTTGACGTGTTTTGTATTTAAAAGTCAACGTGTCATTAAAAAAAAAGAAGAAAAGATAAGGATAAAAAATACAGCTGAAAGAAACAGATCTAAAGTAGAGATCATGTAGGCTGTAGCAAAAGAAAAATTATGTAAATGTAAGTATATACGTAAAATTATATATGTATATTATCTTTACATCTACAATTTGTGGCATGTTCAAGTATAAATATTTGATTTAGTACGGATTCGCACCACATCGTATTTTGACACTACTTTATCAGCAATGTCGATAATATATGTAGTCACATCACAATTAAAGACCGGAATGGTCGCTCCGGTCGCTCTCAGATAGAGAGAAACTCAGGTTTCTGATAGCGTTTTCGGCCCGATCGGGTTTGCACCAACCTGGGTTGGATTAATCTTTCCTATTGGTTGATGTCACACGCTCTACCAATGGGAGAGCGCAAAACGCCATTAATCCAACCCAGGTTGGTGCAAACCCGGTCGGGCCGAAAACGCTATGAGTTTCTCTCTATCTTCAATGACGTCATGATATTTCGCTGGAGCTTCGAAAGTTCTGTCAAAGTGTTGTGTTTACATATTTTGCAATTAACGCGAGTACAAAACACTAGGCGTTAATTTATTTTATATAATTATATATAAAATAAGGTTGCACAAATTAGATTTATTATAATTGTATTCGGAAATATCCGAAACATGACATAAAAGATCCGCGAACATTTGAAATCATTTAACCCTATATTCTGTAGTAGTCGAATATCGTACGTCAAATTAAATAAAATGAGCTCGTGCAGTGTGATTACGTCTGATTTTGTGAATTTATCAATCACAAACTCTGGTCAGGAATCGTGTTGTGTGGAACGTCGATTTCAAAAGGGTATAACTGTCCATGAATTTAAGGTAAGTAAAGCACTGCTTCCTTTCTAAAATTTTCTCCTGCATAGAAATTTACAAGACAAAATTATAGGGCAAATTGGAGCTTCTTACTGGTGGTAACCCAGTTACAATGACCGTTGAAGTTTATGACAAGAACGACAAGCTCGTTTGTAGATTGGAGGAAGAACAACGCCTTTTGGGGTCATATTCAATAGATGATGGAATGAGGATACATGTAAATATACAGATACTACAACATGATACAGAAATTATAATGTGAAAGCTTTATGTCTTACTGAGACTACTTCAAGTATTTATAAGCACAAAATTGTGAGATTGCAAATGAAATGTAAGGAAATTACAGGTTATTGATAATTTCTCATGTACGACAGAAGATTTAAATCATGTGAAAAAATTTGAGATATCTGAGGAAGAGTATGCCAAAAAAACAGGTGAGACTCTTATATTTGTCTTATATCAAATTAAATGATGAATGAGATGTATTTTATTTATGCTTGAACAGACACTGTTAAGGCGTTCCTAGAAAGGAATAAATTAGGAAAGTACAATGAGGAAGACATGAAAAGAAGAGCAGAAGAGAAGAAACTGGAAGAAGAAACAGAGGAACACTTGGCTAGTTTGTGCAAAGTTGGAGACCGTTGCGAAGTATCTGTTCCAAATCAGCCAAAGCGAAGAGCTACTATCTTATATGTTGGTTAGAATCTTAATGTATTTGCAATCTCTTATTTTTACTAAAAGTATTTTTATTATTTTAATATATAAATATTATAGGTAAAACTGAATTTAAGGAAGGCTGGTGGATCGGTGTTAAATATGATGAGCCTCTTGGCAAGAATGATGGGAGGTAAATATATTTAATTACGACACCTGAACATTTTTTTTCCCTTCTTACACTTATTGTGTTGTTGATAGTGTCGGAGGAAAAAAATATTTCGAATGTGCTCCAAAATATGGTGGCTTTGTGAAACCAGCGCACATAAAAGTTGGAGATTTTCCAGAGGAGGACTTCAACCTTGACGAAGAACTATAAAACACCATAATTATTTCACTTTATTTTATCTCTTTTCTATTATCTTTTTTTTCTATTAGTAATTTGAAAACTCAAAATAGTACTTTATATACAATAATTTTTAAATTAAATATAGTTCACACAAATTAAAATTTTGTGTTCTTTTACAATACTTTATCGTCTGATCGCCAGCCAATGAGATGTGTTTCTTTAACCTGAAATCATAAATAATATAGAACAGTGCGACGTTTGAAAAACAATAATTGCCGAATAATATCGATATATAATTATCAAATAATAGATGTACGTCATAGTGCATATCTATTATATAGTGTTTTCATCTTTATGTACTTTTATGATTTTATGGGCCTTGTATTTGCACTAATATAAACACGAATACTACTTATCAAATATAATGTTGAACATTCTGATACTGCTTAAACAAATTGAAGCATTTGGAAATTATTTAGCTTTTCAATCCTAAGGATGCACAGTACTATTATCTAGCTGTGTTAAACAGACTGAAATCCCTATTATATAGTATTTATAATTAGGTAATTAATCCTAGTATTACGACCACAAATTTGAATTGCTTTTTTTGTACATTTCCTGGAATAATATGATGAAACATATACGAAATATTTATATACAAATTTACATTATGTATAAGTGCATTATGTAATTTAAAGGAATTAAAGATAACTTTGAATTACTACGCTATCATTCTTGTGTATAGAGTATCACTTGTGAAATATTTGTTTACGTGAATATTTATAAAAAAAAATAATTAGACCGAAATAATTAAAACAAGACAACGGCGTGTAGTGAGAGTTCATACTGCGCGCGGTTGCGTTCGATAACAGAATTATATGAGTTTTGGAACACACGTGCTGATAACCTTTTAGGTTAGGATTTTTATCTAGGAAAAATATTTTTCTTATCAAGTTGTCCAGATTGTCTCGCAAGTGCAAACAAATTTCGTCTTGTATAGTTGTATTTTCAATTCGGTGTAATAGGTATGCGCCAAGGAGTGTAAAGAGGGGAAAGATCTTGATAGTTTTTGAAGAAAATGTAATCAACTTTTGATACATGTTTACGTTAATCTGCTCATTGATTCTCAACTGTGATCTGTGTGCATATAATAATTGTTTTATTCATTGTGTGCTTACGAACCGGTGCATTAGTAATGCTTGGTAACGCTCTTTCGCTAAGCCTAACCTACTTCTAATAACCTTTATTTATATTACAACAAGATTATAATTCAGAAAGCAAATTGTTGTGATCTAGATTAGTCAATCAATTGATATCTCTTTAAGTAAGCAGTATAACGATATCAACATGTTTGAGCTGATTCTGTCAGTTTCTTTTAAGAGAGGATGCTCTTTTAAAAATAAAAGATATATTTGTTAATTTACAGTAAAAAGATATTAAGACACGTACACACGTTTGTTTCATAAGCATCCATTTTCTATTTTATGCTTGATTAATATCTTATTGTATGTATATATAGATTCAGGTAGCAAGCTGACATTATTTGTCATTTTGATATAAAAGTGACATTAAAGATGTCATTTGGACATCAAAATAACAACAAATAACATTAGCTTGCTATCTTGGAAGTAATATGATTATTTCATTAAAGTTTTAAATAATACTATGTTTTGTTAATCTTTTTAGAAATGCCGGATATAAAAGTTACACCACTTGGTGCTGGGCAGGATGTTGGACGTAGTTGTATCCTTGTCTCCATGGGTGGCAAAAACATCATGCTGGACTGTGGAATGCACATGGGATTCAACGATGAGAGACGGTTCCCAGACTTTTCCTATATAGTTCCAGAGGGACCTGCGACCAATTATATCGACTGTGTCATCATCTCTCATTTTCACTTAGATCATTGTGGCGCTCTTCCATATTTCACAGAGATGGTAACATAATATCAAGAATTATTTTACAATAATTTTTTTTTATCTTTATTGCATCTTTTTCAATTTTCTTGCACATCTTCATTTCTTCTTATTTAAAATATAGGTAGGTTACACTGGACCAATTTATATGACACATCCAACTAAGGCTATTGCACCAATCTTACTAGAAGACATGAGAAAGGTTGCAGTTGAGCGTAAAGGCGAAAGTAACTTTTTCACATCGCAAATGATAAAGGATTGCATGAAGAAAGTTATTGCTGTTACGCTTCATCAATCTGTCATGGTAGATTCAGAATTGGAGATAAAAGCATATTATGCCGGACACGTTCTCGGTGCAGCCATGTTTTGGGTTCGTGTGGGATCACAGTCTATTGTATACACAGGAGATTATAATATGACGCCGGATCGGCATTTAGGTGCTGCGTGGATAGACAAATGCAGGCCAGACTTGTTAATTTCAGAATCAACATATGCAACCACGATTAGAGATTCGAAGAGATGCAGGGAAAGAGATTTCCTCAAGAAAGTATGTTTTCGACTCATTATTATTGGTAATAATTTAATTTATGTTGAACGATTTTTTTGAGAAGATAAGAGCGTGTTTCAGGTACACGAATGCATCGACAGAGGTGGAAAGGTGCTGATTCCTGTATTCGCTCTCGGTCGCGCCCAAGAACTGTGTATACTTTTGGAAACGTATTGGGAAAGAATGAATCTGAAAGTACCAGTTTATTTCGCACTTGGTTTAACCGAAAAGGCCAACAATTATTATAAAATGTTTATCACCTGGACTAATCAGAAAATTAAAAAAACGTTTGTACAACGGAATATGTTTGACTTTAAGCACATAAAACCGTTTGATAAAGCGTATATCGATAATCCAGGTGCGATGGTGGTGTTTGCTACGCCAGGAATGTTACACGCCGGTCTCTCCCTCCAGATCTTTAAGAAATGGGCGCCTAACGAGTCAAACATGGTTATAATGCCAGGTTTTTGCGTGCAAGGTACCGTAGGGCACAAAGTTTTAAACGGTACGCGGAGAATAGAGTTCGAGAATCGACAGATTGTGGAGGTAAAGATGGCCGTGGAGTACATGTCCTTTTCTGCTCACGCTGATGCAAAAGGAATAATGCAGTTGATACAGTATTGTGAACCAAAGAATGTTATGCTGGTGCATGGAGAATTCGCTAAGATGGAATATTTGAAGGAGAAAATCAAACAAGAATTTGGTGTTAGTTGCTATAATCCTGCAAACGGCGAAACTTGTATTATCACGACCACATCCAAAGTTCCCGTAGATGCTTCTCTAGCATTGCTAAAAGCCGAAGCAAAGAGATACTCGGCCTTGCCGCCTGATCCGAAAAGACGGAGATTGCTTCACAGTGTCCTGATGTTGAGAGAAGACGGTGTCTGTCTTGTAGATGCGGATGAGGTAATATCTCCCACATAATAACTGTTTAATTCATGACCGTTATTCTTTTTATTGGAAATAACATTTGTTATTTTATATGCATTAATTATTGCTTTTGTATTTGATTAGGTTGCAAAAGCTGCAGGTATCACAAAACATGTGGTCAGATTCACATCTACTGTGCAAGTAAGGGATCCCGGCCCAGCGCAAGCTACTACCTTAAAACTATTGCAGCCATTGAAAGAAAGACTATCTGGATGGACGGTCCAATTAACGGACGGTTCTATATCAGTTGAATCCGTTTTAGTAAAGGTGGAAGGAGATGAAGATGATCAAAAGAGTGTTTACGTTTCATGGACTAATCAGGATGAAGATTTAGGTAGTTATATTCTTGGATTTCTGCAAACAATGCTGAATTAAAGAAACGGACAAAATTACTGTTAAACAAAATTTCGACCTGTGATATTGAAATGTGGTTTACATTATCACTACTAAATGAACGATTGTAAATCTACTTTGCAACTTGACGCTAATCGAGGTAAAAATATATTTTCCAATAACACACAATGTTAAACATTAGATGACGGTTATACAATATTTTTTTTATGTTTTGAACGTTTGTATTTACCTGAATAGAATAAGAGACAAATATATAGAATTACAAAAATATGAAAAATATTGTACCTGTCACGCATTCTTTTAGTTACCTGTAAGATATCCATCCTAAAAAGGAAGTAAATGTGTATATTGCTCGGAAATATGCTGTATATAAATATGTAGTATAATTTTAGTATAATATAATTTTTTATTATTATATAATGTGAATCTACTAAATATCTGTAATCTTTATTCTTCAAAGATGTCTATTGCCTTTTTTTACCACTTGCATCTTAACGAGTTGTTAAATAGACTTCTAACTTTTTAATGAGATCAGCTTATCGCTTCGTCTTGTAAAAATCATTTTGATGGCTTATTAAGATGCAAGTAATAAGACGGTAAAAGTCAATTATAAAATTGATCAAAATTGCAGAAATTTACTAGCTCTGCTATATATGATGTTGTGAAAATTGTTAATAATAGCTATAGCACCCTATCATTAAACGTTATCGTTTTTAAAATGATGTATAATTTATCGATAACTTAAGATAGATAATTCAAAAGATAATTCATAATAAGTAAAAAATGGTAATGTTAGTTCCAAGGTCTTATTAAATTCGATCTAAAAGTACAACTTTTAGAATTAATTACTTAAACTAGTCCAATAGGTGAATCAAAATGTATATCATATTTTATACTTTAACTATATATATTGTACATATGTATCAGTATCAATAAATGGATATTTATTTAAAGGTATTTTCACCATGTTAACAAATAAATGAAATGAAAGATTGCATAACATTCAGCATCAAGTAAAACAGTAAACTTTTATTAACTATGAATATGCTTTCTAGATACAAAACGGTAAATAAGTACGCAGTGTACTAAACATACATGCCTCTTACAAAACTCAGTACAATAACTATTCTTTTTTATGCAACCAATCGATTACACAAGTGAACAAAGAACTCTTTAAGTGTACTATTAACGTCTAACACAGTATTTTTTAAATATTCATGCAAGCAAGTATTTAAAAAAAATCATCTTCGAAGTTCTACTAGTATAGAGATACTCCAATAACAATACGGAACATTTTCGCTTGTCCAATTAATAAACATCTGTTTAAAGCGTAATTAAATACGAATATAAATGATTGCAAGCATTAATTTTTTAAATGCCCCTAAAATTGTATGTTAACTTGAACTTGTTAAATATATTCTTAGATCTGATAATAAAAGTCTATATGTGAACTATATGAAAATCCGTCTCAAGTATGCAGTACTTGCTTTCAGTACAATTGTTGGGCGCAATTAATTTCAGTTAACATTTGTATATATGTATAAG